AGTCATTTTTACAATTTAACTTTAATTACTAATAGACATAGTACAAATATATATATTTAATATTCCATTTTTTCGATTAATCTATGTACGAGCAATGATGGTCCCTTGCTTACAACATGATCGTCGTTTTTTATTAGCGCGTTATAAACATATTCTTCGTTATTGCAACAACTTTACTCGGTGGTTAATAAACACACGGTTTAGAAAAATTGAAAAAACTCAATAAACTGCTGAATGTCTTTAAATATCAATTGAGCTTATTGAAAGTGATGACACGATCCTCTTACAACTTCATAGTTGAAAGTAAAACGGCAAAATACTCCACGTCGATAAAGCCAGCAGGTCATATTTCTAACTTCTTCAATAAACAAAGAATATTTGGTAGAAGAAAACAAAAAAGATAAAATGAAAAAGAATAAAGGAAAATCTTATAAAAAATATTAAGGTACAAGGGAGAAAAATAAGAAAAATGTATCATTAAATTAACAATTTATCATTATTAAACTAATCTGTTATCAAAAGCAGTGATAAAATGATATAAGCAAAATGGAAAATAAATACCATATTTGCTTTCAATTTAGTAATATTTCGACGATGAAATATGGTTTTGGTGCATCTCTTGTGGCCTATAGGCATTTTGAATGTTCCAGATGGGACTCATCTAAGGATATGTATGCGAAAAGTGTTACAGTCCTCAGGTTGTCATTGTTTACAAACTGACCGCTATTGTCCGCAGCTATGGGCAATGGTCTTGTTTATTTTTACCAAGTTTGTTATTTAAATCAATGTAAAACTATTTCTTTTGTATTGTACCAATAGATACATAATTTAAGTTAATGAAATACTCATTTGAATAAATATTTTACCTCATATTTTCATTTTATTACAGTCGCTGCTTAAGCGACCGCCATTGCCCCACTCTACCTTCTACGTCAGAAGTTAACTTCGGACGTTATGAATTGTGTTATAATTTGTGTTAAATGTGACAAGGTAACGGCATTTCACTGAAATCGAGAAACAAAGCTTTGTGGAAATGTTTAAGAAAAGTAAAAGAAAAGAATTGACATTACGAAAGTGTTTGATATAAATCGTTACGTTATCGCAAACATTGTAAAATGATTTCACTAGAATGGAACTGTTCAATCAGGCATTCGATGCGATAGACCGTGAAAAACAAGTGAAAAACTAGACCGTCGAATTGTAAGAGTGTGTAAATGCAATATATATATATTGCTACTGAAATAAAACATGAACTAAACCTCAATAACATTAGCAGCAAGACAGTTAATGTTGTATACTGTGTACCTCAATGGACAAAATTAGAAGAACTAACTTTTTTATTGATAAGAAAGACTTACGTACGCGTGTTTAGAAATAAGTGATAATGTAGGAAATGGCGGTAAAAACTAAAGAAACAGTAATAAACATTTTGAATCACATCGACTGTAAAGGTGTCCAAAAATATATGTCATGACCACCACAGCGCAGAGTGATCCTACATCTTTTATTTCTTGAAAAAGGATCTACGAAAGTGCTCGGAAAATTCATCCTGAAAAAAGGGTTAAAACTTTTTATTGCTGCATCGTATTCTACTCATTGCAGAGGTGAATAATCAGAAAGGTACCTTCGGTAAGAAATTAATACTTTGTCTGTATATTGCTCTTGAAGTTCTCATAGGAAAGTAAAGGACCGCTGATATCCAGTGTCCTTTTCTGTTATACGATTGTAGGAGGGTTAGGTGTACACTAATATAGTATAATATACTATACTGTACAATCTACCGACAGCTACCTGAATGTATCATCAAATCTTGAAATATAAGTTCTGTCCTCAAATCGCATTAATGCCATGTAAAGCATATAATCTGTACATAGAGTAAGGTCATCACGTTATTACTAGCCATCGGTTTTCTTGAAAATGATAAGTACAAGAAAAAAAGAAATAAGACAGAATTTATACAGTTTCTTACGATCAACATAATAGTATTTATCAGCTTTTTAATTTGCTATATCTTTCGACAAACAATAACTGTTGACTTTTTTAATGGAATTCTACGTATTTTTTTATGTCATATGAAAGCTTGCATTAAGACAAATTCATCCATGTATTAAACAATGACGTACCGAGTTATATGAAGTCAGAAATGAAAAAAATATTTCGAATATTACTTACCAATGTTAACAAGACTACAATAAAAGCTCAGTATAATTTCTTTTTTCAGGAATGTACAATTCGTTTCTGTGAATAACATTTTTCATAGCTTTTTCTAATGTTACCCGCGATATTGTTGCACATGGTTCCGTTATTTTGCTTTGTAATAGTATCTTTAATAGTTCCCCACAAGGAAAGACCAAGCAGTGTCAATTCAGAAGATCTTGGGGGCCACTTGGTAAGATTGTAAGTTTCAATTCATTCATCCTTAAATTTATTGTTAAGATAATGTTTTACGATTCCACAGTTATGTGGCGAGGCTCCATCCTGCTGGAGATACGTATCTTGAGAAATGGACAATGATAGATGTTCCCAACAATATTTAAATTGCACGTTTAGACATTCGAAATATCTACCTCCATTTAATATTCTATTATAAAAATAAGGCCCTAATGGCATATCGTTAATCATATCACACCACATGTTCACACGAAATTGCGCTTGGAAATTTGTTTCTCTTCTAGCTTTTAAGTTTCGGATACTTTATATGTGTGACTTGATTCATCAGCCCAAAGAATTTTTTAAAGAAAATTTACAGTCATTTAGATTATTCATAAGTAACCAATTGCAGAATTCAAACGCCGCGATAAATCTGTTTGTTATAGACCTTGAACTTTATGCATTTTAAAATGTTTATAATTCTGTTGTTTTAAACTTTTATGAGTTGATCCCAATGAAATATCATACACGGTATTTTTCGTACGACAATTGTACGATTTTCTACAAAATGTAGAACTTCTAATTCTTTATGTTCAGAAAGAAGAGATTTCCGATGACACATGCAGTTTTCAAGAGAACTTGTTTCCTTCAAACACTTTGTAAGCAGAACAAATTAATCCTCATTTGGTTGTATTTTATTTGAATATTCCTCTCGATATTTTAATTTCCTGTGCCTTTTATTTCCATTATATTGGTAACAAACGCGTACGATATCTACTTTCTCAATTACTAAGTAACAATATATTTCTGTACTTTACTGAGCAGGTGCCAAAATAATACTGAAATTGTACTAGAGTAGTAGGAATAGAAATAATTATTCGAATTCTAAATAAGAAGAGGAAAAACGTCACATTTAACATTGTAAATCGTGTCAGTAAGAAATGCTTGTAACAACATTACTGCCCTATTCGATCCGATTCATCAAATTTCATTGTGATTTTAATCACAACAATTTCAGAAATTCACTGGCACTACATTTGAAAAAGTAAGGTTAAAATTACTGCAATTGGAATTGACTTCCTTGCATGTTTATATTGAACGCGTGCGTCTGCTCGGTTAAATTCCACTACTGAGACCCGAAATTGTAGAGTTTAAATAAGCATTACTATAAACATAAAAAGCCACTGCTGTGCAGAAAAGAAATCTGAAGCCAATGTTCGTACATCTCACTTCATCGCAATTCGTTTCGCTTGCGTTCTTTACTACGCGACTCGGTCAATAACAAGAACGTGTCGAAACTGAAGCGTCGTTGTTGTCATAACTACTAGGCTCAGCGCTACGAGCGGAGATCTGCCCTTGCTCCTGTGCACATTATAGATGGAACTAGCTGTGGACATGGCGGGCCAACTGTACTCGAAACACTATGGGGCGATTCGAACTAAAAACCCCCCACTCGTACAGTCTCGACAGTTATCTGTCGAACTCAGCACGGATGTATGAAACGGACGTATAAAAGCACAGCCACTGACTGGAACTGTTAGAATTTTTGTCGGAGGGAGCACGTGAAGCCCAAGAAAATCGAAAGCTAATATAAACCGCTACCGAAACGGCGAACGGGTGGTTACGTGTGGCCGTTGCAAGGATGCGCCTCGCGTATATAGAATCCAAAGTAGTGGTAGCGAATGTTTTTCCTGACAATCCCAAAAATTAAAAGAATATATGATTTATTAAAGGAAAAAATTATTCGAAATGTGCATTTCTACAACGAACACAAATTTTAAAAGAATCGGCGGCGGCGTCTACACAGTATTACAGTACAGTACTACAAAATGAATGTATCTAAAACACTAAGCAGGCTTACTTAACCCTTATGTATATAATACTAACGTAATCACACTGTTCCACACCGGGTACACGGGTAATACAAGTACTTGGCTCAAACAGATTTTATATAAAATAATGATTTCATATTCAAACCCTTAAAAAATATATTAGATTTTATTACTATTACACACAAAGTAATTGAAACGATCTATAGATAACACTCCCCTAACCCTTCATTTAATTAATCCGAGCTATGCTTTAGATTTCACTGAAAATAGAGCAGATGAAATATGACTCAACGTAAGTGTATCAGTACTCCATACAGAACTATTTACCCGATTTGAGCGGCGAAAGTCTATTTTAAAAATTTTATCGAAACTGTACAATTTTTGCTATTTCAGATAATTCGAGCACTCGAAAAGTGCTGAGCTATCCCGAAATTAGGCGACTGCGCGTCGCGATCTCTAGTGCTTCGGAAACCCACTTTCTAAAGTCATTAACTTTAATATTTCGCAACAAATCTTTTTCTCACAAACTTATATCACTTTCCACTTCAGCAATTTTTTAACGAAAATCAATAAATTAAACAATTGCATATTATTTATAATGTATTATTATTTATCATATATTATATTATTGTATATTATATCATGTAATATATCATATATAAATATATAATTTTTAACTAAATATATGAAATTATATATAATTTATATCAATAACTTTATTGTTATATGCCATATAATTCCATACTGATAAATATTATATTACATTCCCATATTATTTTGTAAAAAGTCGATATAAACCTGTCTTTAATTTTGGCCGCCAAGTTCGGACAAATACCCCACTGTGCGTCAGTCAGAATCGGTCAAGCTTCGTGTAGTCACGTTTTATGAGAGTCGATTCCAGTGAGATCGGGCTGAAGTTCCCTTTTGGAATCAAAGTAACCTTATAGACTCTGTAATGTTAAATTAAATTCAACCACGACACTAAACGTTTCTGTAAAGCCACAGTTATTCAGAATATAACTAAGTTATTTGATGAACGTTGCAATTATCTAAAAACACTTAATTATCGTCCAATATCCTAATCTAGTGATTGAACATTCTGACACGATACAATCTTACCGCTCAAATTATATCAATTAATTATAATTGAAGTGTTACGAGACCTACTAAGAATCCGAGCGACTTCCCGATTTCGCAGCAGATTCTTTCGCAGTGGTTCTTCAATTTTGCATTGGGTTCGTCCACATCCTATAGCTCCCCGATTTCGCATGAAGTTCGTCTGCGCGTTGCGCCATTCTTAGGGGATCGTTACAACAACCTCAACAATTCACTGGCATTACGTTCGAGAAAGTAAGATCGAAGTTAATGAAATTGAAATTTCCTTTATTGCATATTTATATTCGATGCTTGCGGCATCGCTTTGAAGTCCCACGTCTCGACTCTTATTTGTATTTCACTTCGTCGTATTCTGTTTCATTTATCATCTTCGTTTACGCGAATCAGCTAACAACAAAAGTGGCCGAAACCAAGCCGTCAACATTCATCGCGAGTGGGCATGTCCCCTTGCCGCACTTGCCCCTTCAGTTCGAGGGACAAGTTACCAAATGTCATTAGAGGACAGTACTTGATACTTTCCCTTAAAATACAACATGACAAAAAGAGACTTTTCTTCAAAAACTGCAAGTGGAGAGTTCGTAAGGCGGCACAGAAGCGTTTAGAACAGTAAGATCGTGTACCTGCTTTTTGGAAAAAATATATTTTCTTCGATATTTTTATTTAAATTTAGTATTGAATTTAGTATATATTATTAATATCAAAATTGGACCATATAGCGCATCCTTTTTTGTACGTTACAGATATTTACATATTTATATAGAGCAACTCCTTTTTACCTTTCAGAATTATTATTTAATATTTTTCACATATTTCTAATACTCGGATAGAACTTTATTAAATTTTTAAAAAAATAGATACCAACGGTGCGTAAATTTCATAATATCCTTGTCTTGTCGAAATATTAATTCGAGTTTTATTGTAAGGTAAGTATTACAGGGTAATGGCGATATCACGAAAACATATGTATGAATTTAAATAAAATGTCGATGAAAAGTTATATTTAATGAAAAACTATGTTTTGTAGAGGCAAAACTATCCAGAATTTGAAAGCCCAAATGTGAAGTGTCAACTTACTTTTTCAAATTAAAGTTTAAAGGTAAACAAGTGAATCTGAAAGCATGTGAGTATTATGTTTATTAAATATAATGTATACTTACTTTCAGAAAAATGATTATACTATTTTTCCAATGAAAAATGGCTCAGTGGTACCATTATTTTTCCAGGTGCAAAATATGTATGTTACTAGACGACTTGCGAAAGAGTTTAATGATGCCAGAAAACGTAGAAAAGCGGAATTTACTCGTGAATTGACGGATGTGAGTGCATTAATGCACGCCGCACAAACGAATCACAGGTCAAGTGGGCAATTACACGTATCAGAAATTTAAAAAGAAAATAACGAATTTTCCGAATGAAGCAACAGTATATAAAGAAACTTATTCAGCGAACGAGAGAAAGGTAAAAAAGAACAGTTAACGCCATTTCAGGCGTTATGCATGTTCGTCGAAGCCGAACTGACACGAAAGCAATATGATATACAATTCGTCCAACGAATAAGAAGTTTTATCCGTGTTATACACTAATACAGAAGGCGAAAGACTAAATTCAAATCGAGTATCAAAATCTCCTGTAAAAATTAATTTACAGAGCCTACTGGATCATATAATAATTCGATTAACAGAATATTTAAAAGAAACTTTTGGAATCCGTTCTACAAATGGATTTTAATATACAGTTAATATCCAAAATGGGATTGCGCTGGGATCTAAGTAAACCCAATCTAAACAAGTTTCGTGAAGATAATAACTCAAATGAAAATATTTTTCAAAGATCCTTGGTACCACTGAAACTTGTGTCACATATAAACAATGGAAATATCATTTAGAAAAATCATGTACCCCGTCACCCAGATTTTATTGACCAATTAGGATTAAATTTTTAAAAGAATCTGTTGACATTGTGAAGAAGGAAGTAAATTATATTAAAGGACAACTTTCGAATTTAGTAGAGACAAAAATTAATAAACCAATTATTTTTTACTGGATAAGTAATGGAGAAGATTTTAAGGATAACTTTGTTTTTTTCTAATAAAACTATACGATTTTGAATTCACTACATAGTCGATTTATTTTAGTATTTCCTATAAAAAAAAGTATTTCTTGTCTTATTTCTATCGGAAAACGATTGATTTTTATGATATTTTAATTTAACAGACTGTTCCTGCCACGTAACAATAATTTTATAGTTTTTTGGATATGTTCGTTTCCAATTTACGATAAATTTTACAACTAATTTCTTGTATCATTAATTTGACAATGGGGTCAGATTTTCTAAAACAATATTCCGAAATCTGCTCTTATTTTTTATAACTTTTCCACCATCTTTAAGATAGATAATTATGCACATGATTTGTTTCCTAAAAACTGTAGGATATCGTCTCACGGGGAATTTTCCGAGATAGCCCAGTTCAAAATCGGCCAATATTCGCCATTTTGCTTTCTCAATGAGTCGACACATCTTTGTCTCGAGGCCAATAGGAGGCTCGACGCTGAAGCAGGTCTCGTGAAACAGGCTAAGGAATCGTAGCCTGTTCCGACGTGTGTAAAGAGCCTGCTCTAATACCAGATTTCATGAGACCTCAGCGTCACCGCTTACATCGCTGTATGTTGCAGCATGTATGGGGTCCTTTATTAGGTGGCTGAGAAAAAGTGCGCGGATGAAAAGAAAAAAACGTTAAATCATACCGAAATATAATATTTACTCAACTAAAATATTTTTCACAAGCTTTCCACCATAAATTCTTCAGGAATTTTCGATAATATTATAAGAAAGTGTTTCAAATAAAAGTTTATCACTTTTTTATGATTTGTGAATTGTAATATGCACAACTTAAAAAATAATTTTTCTCGATAAAATTCAAGGTCATCTTGACATGTTTCAAAGTATTGTTACAACTTGTTTTCAATGGTCCGCACATCCGTTTTCTGATTCGTACTTTTAACAAGAAACTCTACTATAAGAATCACTCGAAAACATTGCATGCCAAAAGTCGTATTGGACAGTGTATTAATTTTCGCTACGTGTAGGACTTGAGTATTTTTAAATACTGTAACCTTTTTTTATTATTGATACAAGTTTCTTTATGATACAATAATATTATATACTTTTATATAAGAAAATAAATAAATAAATAAAGAAATATATAAGAATAAATCAATATGCGATTCAGTATTCTTCCGATTAGTAGTCGATAGTCATCCCCACCACTGAGAGGCGCGTTCCCTTGGCAAGTCGCAAAGCCGACGATAAAGCAGTAGTAATGTGATACGCTGTTCAGTGGTGGTAGATATCGGCGAGAGAATATTAATTCAATTAATAAAACTTTTTTACAAAGGATGTTTGATAAATGAAAATTCTAATCAAAATTCTGATTAAAACAAGACCAAACATGAGATACTTTAAACCACAGTTTAGTAGAAGAAAATAAATTATTGTAATTTATTAAATAAGTAAACACGTCCCAAAATATATCGTATTTGGTCTCGTTTTAATTAGAAAATTAACACCCCTCATTCATCTGTTTGTTTTAATCGTTTCGAAATTTAGATCTCTTGTTCGTTCATTCGTGATGTCCTTTTCGGATCTTATCTCAACTTAAAATCAACGCTTGGAAAAATTATAAACTCACGTAAGAAGTGTTTTCTTTTTTAAATTGGTAACTGAATTTATACGAGAATATGAAATAAGTAAATCTTACACTATATTATTGGAATGTAAAAGTCATCGAAAGAGCTTACTACATGTCCCCCCATTCTTGTCGAACAACTCTTGTTTGCAACATTTTTCCAAATCTTCAATGTTTTCAGAAATATTCGACTGTATACGAATAAAACAGACATACTGTACGCAGGATAAAAAACACCGTCGATAGGATATAAAATTTTGTATGCTTTGCAACGTACATTACTAATATTGTTCAAGTTTTTACTGTTATCAGGGTGAAAACGCAAATGTTGATAATTCTAGATCAAAACATAGACTTGGCATAGACATAGACGTAAATTTGAGTGGTATTGGTTTAAATAAATATATATATTGCTTGAAGAAAGTCCATATCAATGAAACGAAATATACTCGAGATGAACAAGTACTTTCATGGGAATACCGCAAAAAGAATCATAAAAAACCGTACTGTTAATTTTGACACATGGTTTAGACAGTAATATTATTGTAACTAAAAAATGAACTAAGAATGAAAGGAGCAAAGTAAAGCCATGTATCCTTAACTATTATAATCTTTTTGTAGGCAGAATTGATGAATCAAATAGAATATTATACTATATTATCTTAGTAAACGAAGAACGCAAAAATATTGGAGAAGAAAGATACGTTTAACAGTGCACTTTAAAAATGCACAGGGGCAAGGGGAGTTGTTCATTCGCGGCCTGACACTCTACAGCTCTCACGTTAGCTTATCGACCCACAAGCTGAAAGTACACAGGGGCAAGGGGACTCTTCCACTCACGACGTTCGAGCTGTCTCAGCTTTCGACACATTATTATTCGACGTTATTGGTGCGCAGCAATAACGGAGAACGGAAGAGAGACCGAATGCGACGGAGTGAGATGGAACTATATCTATCGTTACATCTGACTCCGTCGCGTTCCGTCTCGCTTTCATCCTATGTTATTACCACCCGCCAATAACAACCATGCATGGAAGACCGAGGCGGCCCTAGCATCGTCAGTGGAGATGTCCTCTTGCCTCTCTGACTTTTTAGCTTTTAATATAAATACCACTCAAATTTAATGATACAATTTTATCATTTTACTC